GTCATCTGGACTAGGGCTGGGTTCCTCAAAAATTGGTTGATTTTAACCCATGGTAAGTCGGATTTTACGCAAATCACTAAATACCTTTGTTTCTGTTATTTTCTGGACTGCTTTTTCTTTTGATGTTGTTAATCTCACTATAACATCAAACTGGGCTTGAACATATGTCATAGCAGGAGGCTTAAAGATGAACGGAATTGAAGCATTCCACACAATCATCCGTCCCATTCTTGGATAAATTGCAGCAAGGATTTCACCATCATCTTTGTAAAATACTGTCTCTCCATAATCATTTTTCCTGAAATCCTTGTTTAGAGATATCCTGAACACAAGATCATCCCTATCAATGTTGGCTTCTGTAAATGATAAAAAATATGTTGTTAATTTATAGCAGTTGATGCTCTCTTCTCCACAGAAGCCTCTTTGTGTCATAGGGAGGCTAGGGAGAGGGAAAAAAGAAAGTGCAGGGGACGATGGGAAGGGGTAAGAGAGAAAGCACTTCCCATTACATTATTCCCTGTGCTCTTGCTATTTTTATTAAGGTACCCAACAGGAGCCTCTGTGGAGGAGAAGAGAGGAGTGGATGTGAGTAATTTCTCCTGGATCAAATGAGGCCATACACTATGCAGGAAAAGGCTTTCATTGTTTTATCTCTTATATGTTCTTGCTCAATTCTTTGATGTTTTTCTAGTTCTTAACAAGAGGTCTAAACAGGAATTTAAATCCTGAGTCAATATTTTCTTAGCTACAAACAAAAAATGAAAATATTGTACAGCATATTAGCTTGGTTGTTGGTTAGAAAAATGGATTATAATAGGTAATAATTTATAGGCATAACTATTGATAGAGGGAGTCCAAACTTGTGCACACAGTTGAAAGTCCCCTTCTTGATGCACCTAAAGAATATCTGCTCAGGTTTTTTCTTGAGTATTTATTGATAGAAATAAATTTGTGCATTTCTTGTAAGAATAGAATATTATTAATTTTCTTGTCCAAAGGTTGCATTTAGGGAAGGGGAAAGGGGGAAGGGGAGAAGGGGATTTGGACCCTTCAGACCCATCCCCTGGATCTTAACATTATAAGGAGAAATTCAATGCTGATCACTTTTTGGGTTAATGCAAGTAACATAAGACTATGGGCCCTGTTTTACAGAAGGATCGAATCACAAGGGACAATCATTAGCAAAAATCAGACATTTGAATGGAAGATATTAAAAGAAAGAATAACAGCCCCCTAATATCTCTGGATATTGAAATCAGATTTATTCGACGATAAGCACTCCAGGACAACCACTATTGTTAAAAAGTATTTTCCCATCCAACAGCTGTTTCTTTTTTCATTTAGCACCTTTTAAGCCAAGGGAAATAAATAGCCTTTAATTACCAGTAAAACAACAAACTGTTAATTTTTGAGCGCAAATTGTAAATAAAACGTCCAGTCAACACGTACGAAGCTTGATCTCTGAGTAGCCTCGTCAAACACAACTCAGTACAACCTGATCTTAGCTAGCCTTGCTGCAGTATTCGTCTTGAAATAAAAACACAATACAACACGAAAATAAATATTAACTTACCTTTATTTGTAGCAGTTATAAAATCCAGCCTGCGCTGCATAGAGAAACACACATCATACGCAAAATACTTCTTTCCTCCAGACAACTTTTCGACAACAGTTCGGGTTATATTCCACAGAGACGTACTGGTGAAAAATTCTGGGTTCACAGGAGCAATCCATGGAGAGTTAGTTGAGGAATTAAGCGTACCAAAGTTCTGGTAATAATCACTGTAAGTGTAAAACCAAGAAGAAATTTTCCCAGATATTTTACCAGCAGTAACAAGGTCGAAATACGCACTGATCACTTTTGGCGGAAAAAGTTGATCGAAGATAAATACACCTTTGTCGCCGTCTTGGAATGATTGCGTTTGCTCTGGTTTTGATTGCTCAGATAGACACGAAAACGAAAGAAAACCCAAAATAAATACCAGTTTATACATCACGGAAGCAATTCAAAAACCAGGTCAGTGTTGACCTTTTCAAGATTTCCTCTACTCTTTCTTGATTTCTGAGCGAAAAGACGTAAACCAATCACAGTTCATGTAAGAATAGATATTAAGAACCAACCAATCCGCATTCGCATTATTTCGTCTTGTTCCCAGGATCCTCTCGGTTTAGCAATCATCAGTTCCAATTTCGTTTATTTTTGTTCAATTTGCGCACTTCGATTTGTAAAGCTACTGTAAAGCTACTGTGCATCTCATAGACTTCGTGCGAATTGAAATGGCTTTTTGTTGATATTTCTAGTAGCAGTGCGCGAATGTCTAACTTCCGTAAAAAGGTATCATAAACAGATTAACGCCATTAATTCCTCTGTCATTAGCTGTCATTTGTTGCTAGTTCCAAGAGGGCGCATCTTCTTTTCCATGGTGGGGCATTTGTTACCAAAGGTCTACCGGCTACTACCCTGAAACCAGAGTATTTCTCTCGCTTGAAGACGGATACTCCGGTGTTTTAAAGTTCAGGTAGTGGACCT